GGGTGGGTATGGTGATCTGGGGGGGTGATGATCTGGTGGGGGGAAGGGCGGTCGGGTTGGATCTAATAATTTGTTCTCCTTGTTCTAGGTTTGGCTCTGGATGAAGAATGAGCGTCTTCTTCCATCTCCAGGTAAATGTTTCCACATTCCATAGAGATCTGTCCATTCCAGAATCATGTGACTGTCTCTGGCCCCACCCCTTTTCATTCATTGGATTTCGGTTTTATCAATCAGAGGCTCCGCATCACATGTGGGCGTTACCTGAGGTGCTATACAGCCTGCCCAGGAACGCTCACTCCTCCAGACTGATGCCCCACCCATCAAGGCACTTTGATATTTGCATAACTCCTCCCAATAGCCTGCATCAGGTTGAGGGCTCTTGAGAGAAGTTCGGAGGCAGGGTGCTGTCCCTCCTGCTGGCTCCTTTCAGCCATGATCTGCTTGCATTGTATAGAGAAGAACAGAGACTCAGTGATGAGATGACTGGGTATAAAATAAGATGTGTAATGAATACAGAAATGTTTTTAGTAATCTTCATGTTGGGGGTGAAGTATAGGCAGATCACACTTCAGCTTTAATTGTAGGATGTTAGTGGAGTGGGCCCAAGGCGGGGGCAGTTGGGCCCAGTAGGACAAGGCAGGGGCAGTTGGGCCCAGTAGTGCAAGGCGGGGGCAGTTGGGCCCAGTAGGGCAAGGCGGGGTATTTGGGCCACAGTAGGAATAGTTAGGCTCTAGAAGCAGGGAGGTGGGCCCAGTAGGTGGGGGGTTGGGCTCTAGTAGCGGGGAGTTGAGCCCAGTAGGGGGGGGGTTGGGCTCTAGTAGCGGGGAGTTGAGCCCAGTAGGGGGGGGGTTGGGCTCTAGTAGCGGGGAGTTGAGCCCAGTAGGGGGGGGGTTGGGCTCTAGTAGCGGGGAGTTGAGCCCAGTAGGGGGGGGGTTGGGCTCTAGTAGCGGGGAGTTGAGCCCAGTAGGGGGGGGGTTGGGCTCTAGTAGCGGGGAGTTGAGCCCAGTAGGGGGGGGGTTGGGCTCTAGTAGCGGGGAGTTGAGCCCAGTAGGGGGGGGGTTGGGCTCTAGTAGCGGGGAGTTGAGCCCAGTAGGGGGGGGGTTGGGCTCTAGTAGCGGGGAGTTGAGCCCAGTAGGGGGGGGGTTGGGCTCTAGTAGCGGGGAGTTGAGCCCAGTAGGGGGGGGGTTGGGCTCTAGTAGCGGGGAGTTGAGCCCAGTAGGGGGGGGGTTGGGCTCTAGTAGCGGGGAGTTGAGCCCAGTAGGGGGGGGGTTGGGCTCTAGTAGCGGGGAGTTGAGCCCAGTAGGGGGGGGGTTGGGCTCTAGTAGCGGGGAGTTGGGCCCAGTAGGTGGGGTTGCTTTTATTGGGAGTGTAATAAATCCGGGGTGATGGGTGACAGTTACCGTGGATTTGATATTATGGGATGACTTTGGTCTTCTCTGCGTCTCTCTCAGCCTCACCGTTAGCATGTCTGGACCAATGATGGAGAAGAGTCCAGTGTCCAGTCTCACGCTCAACCTCATCACCTCTCACAACGACCTCCTGTCCCCGAAGAGCCGCCAGATTTATGCCCACACCGACCTGCAGAGCGCCATGGGGCTGGTCAGTGCGGAGCTGGGCGGGGGCACCCCGTCCGAACACACCAACCCCAAGTGGTTGAAGGAAGGGCAGAACCAGCTGCGCAAAGCGGCCGAGCACGAGAAAGAGGACCAGAACTGCAACCCGGACCCGGAACAAGGCAACAAAGACTGGACCAACTGGAACCAAGAGAAGAGCAATAGATGCACCAAGCTGGAAGAACTGGAAGTATCTGCGCTGAACTGCGTCAATCGCAGCGGTGTCATCAACGCATCACCGCTGCTCATCCAAGACGGAGAAGACGAGGAAGACGATCTGACGCCGCCTCAGAGCGAGCTCACCGATCCCGTCACCACGGAGACCTCTGAACAGAGCTCCGAGGTTCAGGAGAACGGCAAAGAGACGACCGACGGCCCCAGAGACACTGGACGCAGCGCAAGTCTGCTATTCGGAATGAGGAACACGGCCGGAAGTGACGAGGACTCCAGCTGGGCGACTCTGTCACAGGGCACCCCGTCCTATGGGTCCCCGGATGACACAGGTGAGATACAACCCGCCTGGGACAGTCTATATTGAGGGGTCACAGTACCTGGGTAACCCATACCAGTCCACCCCGGACAGTCTATAGGGGTCACAGTGCCCAGGTAACCCATACCAGTCCACCCCGGACAGTCTATATTGAAGGGTCACAGTGCCCAGGTAACCCATACCAGTCCACCCCGGACAGTCTATATTGAAGGGTCACAGTGCCCAGGTAACCCATACCAGTCCACCCCGGACAGTCTATATTGAAGGGTCACAGTGCCCAGGTAACCCATACCAATCCACCCCGGACAGTCTATATTGAAGTGTCACAGTGCCCAGGTAACCCATACCAGTCCAGGAGTTGTCTGCTACCAAGCTGCTACGGTGGTAGATAGGTGACCGATGATGGGCAGTCTCTGACCGTCCCCTGTGGTATGTCTGCACTCTCTGACCGTCCCCTCTGGTATGTCTGCACTCTCTGACCGTCCCCTTTGGTATGTCTGCACTCTCTGACTGTCCCCTTTGGTATGTCTGCGGCCTCTTACATATTGTGAGCTCCTCTGGCATTGTAAGGGGTCACACGTGAGACCCTCTATAGTAAGCTGACCATCATTGGTTTAGGAAACTGATTCCACTTCCATACTGGTCTAGTCCCAGTGATGTGTTCCGCCTTGTTTAATAGGAAATAATTGTCTCCACAGATTGTTTCTGGCCGAGGAATGCCATGGACACAGACTCTGACCTTCCCTCCGGGTGGGTGAGGGTGCAGGACACTTCCGGAACATACTACTGGCACGTCCCCACCGGGACCACACAATGGGAGCCGCCATCCGACCTCAACGGGGAGCCTAAGATGTATTCCCCCAGCACTGACCTCACCCCGACAGAGGAGGTAGGTGTATCTGTCGTCCCTCTTCTTTCATCTAAAGGTCGGAACTAGGGATGCACCGATATATATCGGAGGAACTAGGGATGCACCGATATATCGGAGGAACTAGGGATGCACCGATATATCGGAGGAACTAGGGATGCACCGATATATCGGAGGAACTAGGGATGCACCGATATATCGGAGGAACTAGGGATGCACCGATATATCGGAGGAACTAGGGATGCACCGATATATCGGAGGAACTAGGGATGCACCGATATATCGGAGGAACTAGGGATGCACCGATATATCGGAGGAACTAGGGATGCACCGATATATCGGAGGAACTAGGGATGCACATATATATCGGAGGAACTAGGGATGCACCGATATATCGGAGGAACTAGGGATGCACCGGAACTAGGGATGCACCGATATATATCCGAGGAACTAGGGATGCACCAATATATCGGAGGAACTAGGGATGCACCGATATATCGGAGGAACTAGGGATGCACCGATATATCGGAGGAACTAGGGATGCACCGATATATCGGAGGAACTAGGGATGCACCGATATATCGGCCGCCGAAACATATCGGCCAAAAATGGCACTTTTGGCTAAATCGGCGCATCCCAGGTTTCATTCCTCCCCGCTTGGTGCTGCTCTGTGAAAGTGACAGCCGGCCGAGCGCTGCGGGAGGAGAGCGCTGTGAGCGGCCGGTGTCTCTCCTCCCACACCGCTCAGCCTCCTATCACAGTCCGGCAGAGCGGTGTGTGGGCGGAGACAGCGCTGTCACAGGAGGCTGAGCTCTCCTCCCTCCCCGCACCGCTCGCTCCTGTGACAGCGTGTCAGAGAGGAGAGCGGGTACAAGCAGTCATGTGATCAGTGATCGCTGAGTGTGTGTACATAATTGAGGACATGGTATGTTTACTATATCCTCAATTATGAATGAATGGGAAGTGATCTACATCACCTCCTACATCACTTCCTGTTCATTCACGATTGTGGTTCTAGTAAATATACTTTGTTCTCAAGTTATAAATGAACAGGAACACTCAGTATAGAGCAGTGGTTCTCAGCCTGTGTAACCTCAGGACCCACATTTGTCCTTGGCCATTAAGTCGCGACCCAAGTCACCCTGCAATGGAATGCACAGCATTGCGGTAACAAGCGTTCGGGTAACCAACACGATGCACCTTCCACACTAGAACACGCAGTAGGTGCGATTGCGGGGTACTGGAGAGTGTCACCTCCATAGTAATGACACTGAGGAAGTGACCTTCCACCTCATGGATCACAATCTCACACACTCACATATATTCTCACACACATATACACATTCCAAAAAAAATTTTTTTTTTCTTTTTTTTTTATCTTTTTTTTTTTAAGACCCCCCCCCCCAGTCTCCCTACTTTATTAGAACTGGAGCGGATGCTCAGCCTGGGGTCCAGAATTTGCTGCTGTGCTGTGACGGCGCTCCATCCATATGTGCATTGTTTGTACAGCTCCCTTACGTGCCATGTAGAGGTGCCGGGAGCCAGAATGTGGCGTCAGTCCAGTCCAGGCACCTCTACAGGACACGTGTGGGAGCTGTAAGCAATGTATGGATGTATGGAGCTCCCTCGTCAACATAGTTCCAGCCGTCCCCACCTCAAGCTGATATTCAGGGCTGTGCACCATATTTGGAATGGCTGCTTGGCACAAGAACTGATGGTGCTGCGCTAGGGGGAGGCTGAGGAGTCTCCCACCTAGAAAAGTGGAAGGCATGTGCCGACCCACTGAACATGGGGTCGCGACCCACTTTTGGTTCACAACCCACCAGTTGAGAACCAAGGGTATAGAGGATCCCTGTTCATTGATAACAAGGGACACAGAAAAAGAGATGAGGACTCTGTGTCCTCAATCTCTTTTTCTATTTTAAAAGGGAGATATCGGGGGTCTGTTTAGATCCCCAATATTTCCCCGAAGCCCCTAAAAGTAAAGTAAAAAATAAAAACATTTAATTAAAAATAATGAATTAATAAAAAAAAAAAATATTTAAAACATTTGAAAAAATTAAAAATATTTTTTTTTTTCGGTTTCGGCCTGACAATTATTTTACATTTTACATTTCGCTTTCGTTACCGTTTCGGGCAGATAGGAATGACTTTCATTCTAAGGTTTAGATAATGGCAATGCCGGCCATTCACGTGCTGATTTTACCAACTTTCAACCAGCTTTTAAATGATAAAAAAATGACTAAACAGATGAAGGCCGCCTGCCTCCATAGTACAAAACCCCATTCATGGGCATTGTCCGTGTTGTGTTGCTTTCATACATGTGAAACTTCCTGAAGATTGGCGTTTGTGTGACCGGCAGTAGAGGCCTTCTCTGGTAGACAGATGTGTTCAATGGATGACATGCTCTTCATTTTACTGACCCGTGGCTGTGTACATATTTTCTTCAGGAAACATCACAGGAGCAGTTGTCAGATTACAATGACTTAGAGGAGGTGACCTTCCACATCCATGATCTCCACCTCAGGTGAGTGACAACCTCCATAGTAATGACAGAGGAAGTGACCTTCCACCTCATGGATATGAACCTCAGGAGAGTGTCGCCTCCATAGTAATAACGAGGAAGTCACCTTCCACCTCATGGATCTGACCCTCAGGAGAGTGACAACCTCCATAGTAATGACACTGAGGAAGTGACCTTCCACCTCATGGATCTGACCCTCAGGAGAGTGTCGCCTCCATAGTAATGACACTGAGGAAGTGACCTTCCACCTCATGGATCTGACCCTCAGGAGAGTGTCGCCTCCATAGTAATGACACTGAGGAAGCGACCTTCCACCTCATGGATCTGACCCTCAGGAGAGTGACAACCTCCATAGTAATGACACTGAGGAAGTCACCTTCCACCTCATGGATCTGACCCCCAGGAGAGTGACAACCTCCATAGTAATGACACTGAGGAAGTCACCTTCCACCTCATGGATCTAACCCTCAGGAGAGTGACAACCTCCATAGTAATGACACTGAGGAAGTCACCTTCCACCTCATGGATCTAACCCTCAGGAGAGTGACAACCTCCATAGTAATGACACTGAGGAAGTGACCTTCCACCTCATGGATCTGACCCTCAGGAGAGTGACAACCTCCATAGTAATGACACTGAGGAAGTCACCTTCCACCTCATGGATCTAACCCTCAGGAGAGTGACAACCTCCATAGTAATGACACTGAGGAAGTCACCTTCCACCTCATGGATCTGACCCTCAGGAGAGTGACAACCTCCATAGTAATGACACTGAGGAAGTCACCTTCCACCTCATGGATCTGACCCTCAGGAGAGTGACAACCTCCATAGTAATGACACACTCTCAGCATGTCTATAGTATATTGTATTGTGCGGTAGAAGAAGCAGTTTCTGGCTCTTTGCAGCTGATGAATGAGATGTTTTAGTAGCAATCCGTCATTGTGTCATTATGATGGAGAATCCAGAGAACGTTCTCTGTTTAGAATTGGTTGTTCTTTATGTTTCCAGCTCTGCAGACCAAGGAGAAGACCAGGAGTCTGTACAGAGCTCGGGGCCCGGGCCACAGGTATCTCTCCATTTAAATGTCCTCTGTGTAATCCCGCAGGTGCATGTCTCTGGTGGGTCCTGACAGTTACCTGGCTGTGTGTCCCTCTCCTAGTCCTCTCTGTCCATCCACAAGTACTTGTACTCGCCCAAATGCTCCCGATGCCTATCCCGGTATCAGGAGGCCAGTCGGCAAGTCTTTACACGCAGCCTGGCTTCCTGATTGGCCAGCTTTCTGTCATTACTCGCCTCCCGGCCAATCAGGAAGCCGGGCGCCGTTTAATGACTGGCTGCCCGGCTTACTCATTGGTCGGGAAGCTGGCCAATCAGGCAGCGAGTCAATACCTGCCCCCCTGGCTTCCTGATTGTCCTGCAAGCCGGCTCCATGCTCCCTCGTCACCTGGTGACGAGGGAGCATAGAGGCGGCTTCCCGGCTAATCAGGAAGCATGGTGGCGAGTCATTACACGCCGCTCGGCTTCCTTAATGGGACTTTTGGTGTTGGTATTCCATATCCGCGAGTACCAGAAAAAAAATCGGTATTCTGTACCAAAAAAAGGTGCATCACTAATAAGAACAATCAATGAAAGTACAAAGTTTGGAGTTAGTTGTGCAGTTCATTTAGGAGAGTGAAAACAGATTTTTCTATCTGGCAGACATTTTCGGTACTTTCTCTCGGTTGGGTGGAAATGACAGAGGAGGATTTGGCTCCCGGAAGAAGCAGCGTCGCTGTAAACAGCTGCATCAGACAGTTGTCACTCCACAACCAGAGCCTGACCCAGGTAGGTTTTACTGCAGGATCAGCCCCTACTCGGAGCACAACCTCTCCAATACATACACCTTCCAGGAAAAGATATATGGACACCTGACCCTCACACCTACATGGGATTGCTGGACTTCCCATGCCAAAACAATGGCCATTAATATGGACTATCCCCCCTTCCCTCTTTTATGGCTCTCACACCCCCTACTCTTCTGGGAAGGCTTCCTACAAGATTAGAAAGAGCATTTGTGAGGTCAGAGCTGATGAATGAGAAGACTAAGCGCACAATCTGTATTCAGAAGGGTTGAGGTCAGGGCTCTTGAGTCCTGCACACCAAACGGGTCAAGCTATGTGTTTATGGATCTGGCTTTGTACACAGGGGACAGTCATGGTGGGACAGAAAAAGGGACTTCTAACCGTTGCCACAAGGTTGGAAGCTCACAATTGTCTAAGAATGTCTTTGTATGATGTAGTAATAACCGAACCCTTCACTAGAAGTACTGAACTAAATCATTTGAGGTGTTCTGGTCAGCGGTTCACAATATCTTGTCCATATAGTGCAGGGGTAGCCAAACTCCGGCCCTCCAGCTGTGGTGAAACTACAAATCCCATGATGCATCTCTCTCCGGGAGTCATGTCTGTGGCTGTGAGAATCATGCAATGCCTCATGGGATTTGTAGTTCCACCACAGCGGGAGGGCCGAAGTTTGGCTACCCCTGATATAGTGTATGTTCAGAAACAAACAATAGGAGTCATTGGAAGTTCCCCTATCTCCTCTAACCAGACTTGTTCAGCCAATCTTGCAACCAGCATTTGCAATCGCTGATCAGTAAACATGGACTGTGTGCTGTATGAGACAGAAACATGTTGTCATATATCATCAGACTGCAGATTAGGATGCTTGTTATCGAGTAGATGTTAGCTGGACGGGTGTCACTGAATTGCTTGTCTTCCAGGGGAAGGACATGCTGCTGGTCTTGGATGAGGATTCCCTGAAGCTCTACGACTCCGCCGGAGAGACTGTACTCCACTCTCAGCCTATTGTCAGCATCCGAGTGTGGGGAGTGGGACGGGATGATGGGAGGTGAGTGCTGAACTGTTATTGATGATTTACTTAGAGCCGTCACCTCCCATGGAGGTGCAGCGACTAACGAGGGTGAAGAATAAATCTATTATATAGGGATGCACCGATACTAGTATCGGTATCGGTGCCGATACCGAGTATTTGGGTGAGTACTCGCCCAAATGCTCCGATACCTAGCACGAGTACTTCCTGTATCAGAAAGCTGGCAGCGCATCATTACACGCTGCCCGGTTTCCTGTTTGGCCAGGAAACGGCTCCATGCTCTCTCGTCACTTGTGATGAGAGAGCATGGAGCTGACTTCCCGGCCATTCGGGAAGTCGGGTAGGGTGCAATGACGCAGCGCCCGGCATTCTGATTGGCCGGGAAGCCGGCGTCATGCTCCCTCGTCATCTCATGAATCATAATATTAAGAAAGTGACCTTAAAGCATTAGTTTGTATTGCTTTAGAAAAAATGTGACCTGTCCCTTTAAGAAAAAGTATCGGTAATTGGTATCTGCGAGTACTTGATCAAAAGTATCGGTACTCGTACTCGGTCTTAAAAAAGTGGTATCGGTGCATCCCTATAGATGCCGAGAAAAAAGGTAAGGGGAAACTCCTCAAGAGCGGGGAGAGTCTGGAGTAACCGTGAGCTGGCAACAGTGTGGCAGACCCTCTACTGGAGCATCTACTGTCACTTTCTGTGGCAGTCAATATAATCTCCGGTTCTAGATATCAGAAAGCCAAAGATAGACGGTATACCCAACACATGACACCCTGAGATGAGGAGTGGCATGAGTTCCAGGATACGTATCGGGGTTCCATGTTATCAAAGACAAAGTAATTCACCTGGAAGTGTTTCTCCAATCCTATTATAACCCCGAAAACGATATAAATGAGGTCTACACTCTTCCTCCCTGTGTTGTCAAGGCTGCAGGGAAGGAAGACCGAAGAGGAGAGTAGAGATGAGCCCATCAGTCTGCTGCTTCTCCTTTCACTGTCCAATCGCAGCCTGGGGGAGGGACGAGACCTGTGCCTGTCACCGATCTGCAGCAAAGAAAAATCAGGTCTCCTCCCCCATCAGAATGGGAGGTGATGTGTGCGGGGTTAGAAAACAGAGGGTGGCAGCAGCTGAGTGGACGTGGCGGGAGGATATGTCATCCCAATGATGATGTGGACTCTGGCTTCTCCAGGGAACTGTGAGTCACATATTCAAACTGGAGGAAGGAAAAAGTTCTCAGAACACAGGATTAGCAGTAACAAGGGGCATATGGGCCGCAATATATGGCTCGGTGCACTAAATCTAACCCCTTTCACTGACTGGAGTATCACTTTAGGCTCCAGTACCGGGGCATATCAGCCGCAAGATGGCCCGGTACACTACATCTAACCACTGTCACTGGAGTATCCCTTTAGGCTCCAGTACCGGGGGAATAGCAGCTGCAGTATGGCCTGGTGTACTCCATCTAACCCCTTTCACTATAACTGAAGTACCCTGTTTCCCCGAAAATAAGACCAACCCCGAAAGTAAGACCTAGCACTAGTTTTCAAGATTCCTGTAATATAAGACCTACCCTGAAAATAAGACCTAGTTTGGTGGTAGCATATGAGGGGGAAGAGCAGGAGAGATGGTATCAGCCTGCAGGGACACACTGTATTAAGGGGATGACAGGGGACTCCCCCCGGCCAGCGCAGTGACAGGGAGCACTCCAGTACCATACTTCCCCAACTGCTGTCCCCCTGAAGGCACTGCTTAATGTAATGGTACTGTACTGTAATGTGTACCGGTAAATGGTACCGTACTTTACCGCACTGTCCACTGTCTTATGTCCCCACTGCTGCACCGCTGGTACGACTGCCCCTGATGGCAAAGGAAGCCGGCGCTGAAGAAAGCAAGGTTGCGGCGGCGGAGGGAGCAGAGCCGCATTAGCCGACACTTCCTCTATAGCGCCGGTTACTGTGACAGGCGGAGTGATACCAGATAACTTTAGATTGTTGTACATTTTGTGTGCACATTAAAAAAATAAGACATCCCCTGAAAATAAGACCTAGTGTGTTTTTTTGGGGGCAAAAAAAATATAAGACAGTGTCTTATTTTCGTGGTATTCCTATAGGCTCCAGTACCGGGGCACAGCAGCTGCAGTATGGCCTGGCACACTACATCTAACCACTTTCACTGTGACTATGACTGGAGTAAACCTGGCTATATGCTGGCTATATACTGCTTACATAACCCTCGGCCATCTGTCAGTGGAAGGCTCTCCCTCTGAGTGGAGCGGGCCCCGTATCCTCCCACATGCCATGATTTTCGATTTTCCATCTTTGGAATAATTGCAAATTTTCTTGTACAATAAGCTGAGCTGCTTGTCATGAATTGTGTGGCCATCTCTCCTCCACTAACCGTCTCTTTCTGTCTGCTTGTTGTGCTGCGGATGTACACAGAGAGAGGTACAGTATATATCTGGCACTTGGTTTTATATCCTTTGGTGATCTCTCGGCTCCTCTGTACTCGACCCTTTACACTGCCATTTCTTCATTGTAGGGACTTCGCTTACGTCGCCAGAGACAAACTGACACAGCTGCTGAAATGTCACGTGTTCCGATGTGAGGTCCCCGCCAAGGCCATTGCCACTGGTCTGCATGGGGTCTGCTCCCGCGTGAGTACTCATTTCTATTCTGTATTCTCAATATATATTTAATTTTGGTTTGAGAAAGCCGCATATTCATCACTTCTATGTGGAATTCCAATCACAGTTCAATATACACTATATTGCCAGACACGGAGTTCCCTTGTACTGACAGAAAATCCCCCCCTCTGTGTCTCCCTACTGAAGATGGGCTGCTCCATGCAGGAAGGGCGCCGCGACCCACTGCAGAAGGGCTCGCGACCCACTTTTGGGTCGCGACCCATGAGTTGAGAACCACTGCTCTAGATGAGGCCGAACCAGTGATTTTATAAAGTGGAAGTGTTACTCTTTTATCCCTTGATACAATTGTTCTATTAATGCACACGGGTATCCTGTTTGCCTTGCTGGCCGCTTGTTGACATTGCTTACTATTGCCAAATCTATGATCTATAAGCACCCCCAAATCTGGGACCTATAAGCACCCCCAGGCCTTTTTCCATGGCTGACTTCCCTAATGTAGCACCCCCAAGTTGTAGTTTGTGCACTCGTACTTTACACCCATGTGCATTACCTTACATTTTTCAACATTGAATCGCCATCTTGTAGCCCGGGCTGCAAATTCATCCCGATCTTGTTAAAGTGAATATATCTCCAGTTTGGAATTTACTGCTCTACAGTTTCGTATCGTCCGCAAAAACTGAGATCAAATTTGTTAGTCCAATCTTTGTTGTGTAATGAAAAGCACTCGCCTCATAGTTCTCCTTTTAAAGCTTTCCCTCTTGTCCTCATATACAGCAAGATTTCATCCCAATTTACAGGTGAAACTCGAATAATTAGAATATCGTGCGAAGCTCATTTATTTCACTAATGCAACTTATGCGGTGAAACTAATATATGAGAGAGACTCATTACATGCAAAGCAAGATAGTTCAAGCCGTGATTTGTCATCATTGTGATGATTATGGCTTACAGCTCATGGAAACCCCAAGAACCCCAAATCCACAACCTCAAAAAAGTAGAATATTACATGCAATCAATAAGGCTGGGTTCACACCTAGGCGTTTTTTCCGCGCTTTCGTACTCGCGGAAAAACGCTCAAACAGGGAAATGTCATTATTTTCAATGTGCATGGTTCCCATCTGGGCGGTTTTCCGCTAGTACGAACGTGCGGGAAACCGCCCTACGGCCAAAGAAGTACATGTACTTCTTTGGGGCGTTTTGGTCGGGCGGTTCTATTGGGATACAGCCAAGTATCCCTCGGAAACGCGCGTATTTCGCACGTTTTTTTTTACCGCGAATCACGGTAAAAAAACGTGAGAAAAACGTGCATATTCAAATCCGCCTAGGTGTGAACCCAGCATTAAACAAGGATTGTACATAGAACAATATCGGACCTCTGAAAAGTACAAGCATGCATATGTACTCAGTACTTGGTTTGGGCCCCTTTTGCAGAACTTACTGCAATTACTTTTGCACGATATTCTAATTATTCGAGTTTCACCTGTATGTCGCGTAGGTTTCTGTTTATTGGAGTTGGACTTTTCATATAATTGATTGATCTTGTCATGGCGACCGGTCTGTGTTTCCTGGAGCTTACAGTGAACGTTCTCATTCTACGCTCGGTGTTCCCAGGTTATCCCCGATGTCCACGTCTGCAATCAGCGCTGTGCTGTTTGTAATTAAATCCAACAGAACATTATTTCTGGCTCGGGATCCACCAATTGTCCCATAAAATTATCTCCGAGTGTGTTCAAGAAGTGACGGCCCATCTGGAGTTTGGGGTTTCATTTACCCAATCAATATCCGCATAGAGTCCCCATAATCATGACACTGGCTTCCCGCTACTTCTATCTGTGACAATAGTTGTCTCCCCTCCTCCCCTACGTCCTGTAACATGTTCCCACCAGTCATTCGCCTTTTCCCCCATTCATGTTCATCTCTATCCATTGTAATTAACCATCATCCCCAATCTCCTGAGCCAGATCATTCCTGACAATGGCATACCCCCCATAAAATGATCAGGGTACCTGTCCTCGTTCTGTGGGGTGACGGATGAGAAGTACATAGTAGTACATGTCTGCAGGTAATGTGAATGTCTCATATTGTAGGTCACAATGTCTTGTTTGTCCGCAGATTATGGCTGGGAGACGCGGCCCCCGGTCCCTGGAGGATGGACTTTTCCTGGACCAGTCTAGAATGGTGGACATTCCTTTCCAAGGTGGGCCGTCATGTCACATTGCAGGCTCGGGCCTCATTCACACGTGTGCATTTAAAAGCACATGTGTGTTTTCCGTGATATACATGTTCTCAACTTATATTTTAGTGTTTTCCGTGCTTTACAATGTGTTTATGTCATGTATTTTCATGGCACTGTACCCCCTCCTCTGTCTCTCTGTAATGGCACTGTACCCCCTCCCCTGCCCCTGTAATGGCGCTGTACCCCCTCTGTCTGCTCTGTGATGGCGCTGTACCCCCTCTGTCTGCTCTGTGATGGCGCTGTACCCCCTCTGTCTGCTCTGTGATGGCGCTGTACCCCCTCTGTCTGCTCTGTGATGGCGCTGTACCCCCTCTGTCTGCTCTGTGATGGCGCTGTACCCCCTCTGTCTGCTCTGTGATGGCGCTGTACCCCCTCTGTCTGCTCTGTGATGGCGCTGTACCCCCTCTGTCTGCTCTGTGATGGCGCTGTACCCCCTCTGTCTGCTCTGTGATGGCGCTGTACCCCCTCTGTCTGCTCTGTGATGGCGCTGTACCCCCTCTGTCTGCTCTGTGATGGCGCTGTACCCCCTCTGTCTGCTCTGTGATGGCGCTGTACCCCCTCTGTCTGCTCTGTGATGGCGCTGTACCCCCTCTGTCTGCTCTGTGATGGCGCTGTACCCCCTCTGTCTGCTCTGTGATGGCGCTGTACCCCCTCTGTCTGCTCTGTGATGGCGCTGTACCCCCTCTGTCTGCTCTGTGATGGCGCTGTACCCCCTCTGTCTGCTCTGTGATGGCGCTGTACCCCCTCTGTCTGCTCTGTGATGGCGCTGTACCCCCTCTGTCTGCTCTGTGATGGCGCTGTACCCCCTCTGTCTGCTCTGTGATGGCGCTGTACCCCCTCTGTCTGCTCTGTGATGGCGCTGTACCCCCTCTGTCTGCTCTGTGATGGCGCTGTACCCCCTCTGTCTGCTCTGTGATGGCGCTGTACCCCCTCTGTCTGCTCTGTGATGGCGCTGTACCCCCTCTGTCTGCTCTGTGATGGCGCTGTACCCCCTCTGTCTGCTCTGTGATGGCGCTGTACCCCCTCTGTCTGCTCTGTGATGGCGCTGTACCCCCTCTGTCTGCTCTGTGATGGCGCTGTACCCCCTCTGTCTGCTCTGTGATGGCGCTGTACCCCCTCTGTCTGCTCTGTGATGGCGCTGTACCCCCTCTGTCTGCTCTGTGATGGCGCTGTACCCCCTCTGTCTGCTCTGTGATGGCGCTGTACCCCCTCTGTCTGCTCTGTGATGGCGCTGTACCCCCTCTGTCTGCTCTGTGATGGCGCTGTACCCCCTCTGTCTGCTCTGTGATGGCGCTGTACCCCCTCTGTCTGCTCTGTGATGGCGCTGTACCCCCTCTGTCTGCTCTGTGATGGCGCTGTACCCCCTCTGTCTGCTCTGTGATGGCGCTGTACCCCCTCTGTCTGCTCTGTGATGGCGCTGTACCCCCTCTGTCTGCTCTGTGATGGCGCTGTACCCCCTCTGTCTGCTCTGTGATGGCGCTGTACCCCCTCTGTCTGCTCTGTGATGGCGCTGTACCCCCTCTGTCTGCTCTGTGATGGCGCTGTACCCCCTCTGTCTGCTCTGTGATGGCGCTGTACCCCCTCTGTCTGCTCTGTGATGGCGCTGTACCCCCTCTGTCTGCTCTGTGATGGCGCTGTACCCCCTCTGTCTGCTCTGTGATGGCGCTGTACCCCCTCTGTCTGCTCTGTGATGGCGCTGTACCCCCTCTGTCTGCTCTGTGATGGCGCTGTACCCCCTCTGTCTGCTCTGTGATGGCGCTGTACCCCCTCTGTCTGCTCTGTGATGGCGCTGTACCCCCTCTGTCTGCTCTGTGATGGCGCTGTACCCCCTCTGTCTGCTCTGTGATGGCGCTGTACCCCCTCTGTCTGCTCTGTGATGGCGCTGTACCCCCTCTGTCTGCTCTGTGATGGCGCTGTACCCCCTCTGTCTGCTCTGTGATGGCGCTGTACCCCCTCTGTCTGCTCTGTGATGGCGCTGTACCCCCTCTGTCTGCTCTGTGATGGCGCTGTACCCCCTCTGTCTGCTCTGTGATGGCGCTGTACCCCCTCTGTCTGCTCTGTGATGGCGCTGTACCCCCTCTGTCTGCTCTGTGATGGCGCTGTACCCCCTCTGTCTGCTCTGTGATGGCGCTGTACCCCCTCTGTCTGCTCTGTGATGGCGCTGTACCCCCTCTGTCTGCTCTGTGATGGCGCTGTACCCCCTCTGTCTGCTCTGTGATGGCGCTGTACCCCCTCTGTCTGCTCTGTGATGGCGCTGTACCCCCTCTGTCTGCTCTGTGATGGCGCTGTACCCCCTCTGTCTGCTCTGTGATGGCGCTGTACCCCCTCTGTCTGCTCTGTGATGGCGCTGTACCCCCTCTGTCTGCTCTGTGATGGCGCTGTACCCCCTCTGTCTGCTCTGTGATGGCGCTGTACCCCCTCTGTCTGCTCTGTGATGGCGCTGTACCCCCTCTGTCTGCTCTGTGATGGCGCTGTACCCCCTCTGTCTGCTCTGTGATGGCGCTGTACCCCCTCTGTCTGCTCTGTGATGGCGCTGTACCCCCTCTGTCTGCTCTGTGATGGCGCTGTACCCCCTCTGTCTGCTCTGTGATGGCGCTGTACCCCCTCTGTCTGCTCTGTGATGGCGCTGTACCCCCTCTGTCTGCTCTGTGATGGCGCTGTACCCCCTCTGTCTGCTCTGTGATGGCGCTGTACCCCCTCTGTCTGCTCTGTGATGGCGCTGTACCCCCTCTGTCTGCTCTGTGATGGCGCTGTACCCCCTCTGTCTGCTCTGTGATGGCGCTGTACCCCCTCTGTCTGCTCTGTGATGGCGCTGTACCCCCTCTGTCTGCTCTGTGATGGCGCTGTACCCCCTCTGTCTGCTCTGTGATGGCGCTGTACCCCCTCTGTCTGCTCTGTGATGGCGCTGTACCCCCTCTGTCTGCTCTGTGATGGCGCTGTACCCCCTCTGTCTGCTCTGTGATGGCGCTGTACCCCCTCCTCCGTCCCTGTAATGGCGCCGTACCCCCTCCTCTGTCCCTGTAATGGCGCTGTACCCCCTCTGTCTGCTCTGTGATGACGCTGCACCCCCTCTGTCTGCTCTGTGATGACGCTGTATCCGCTCCCCTAGCTGCTCTGTGATGACGCTGCACCCCTCCTCTGTCTGCTCTGTGATGACGCAGTACCCCCTCCTCTGGCTGCTCTGTGATGACGCTGTACCCCTCCCCCTTCTGCCCTGTGTTGACGC